CGATTCCGCGAAATTGGAAAAAATGATGACCTGGCCGTCACCACTAAAGTCGATAATGGAGGTTAGGCAGTTTCTAGGGGTGGTGGGCTATTGGAGGATATTCATAAAAGGCTACAGTGAGGAGGCGGAGCCACTAAGGCGGCTTCTTAGGAAAGTTGAGGGATGGACCTGGGGAGAAGAGCAGGCCGCGACCATGGAGACCCTTAAGGGTGAGTTCCGCGAAGGGGGGGAAGTCCTAGGCGTTCCATTCTTCGAGGATGAGGAGAACCGCCTGTTTATAGTTTCCACGGACGCCGGACCATGCTCCGTGGGAGGACTTTTGTCACAAAGGGATCAAAATGGGAAAGAGAGACCCCTTCGATTTGAGAGTCGGGCCTTAAATCTCGCCGAGAGGAACTATAGTCAATTCAAGAAAGAAGTGCTGGGGGTGTTGCACTGCCTAAAGACCTTCCACCACTACATCTACGAGAGGCTTTTCCTCCTAATGGTAGACCCAACTGCGGTAGCAGTTGTCCTTCAGAAGAACTTTTCGCTAACCGACCCAACCATCGCTAGGTGGATGATCCATATCAGGCTCTACGATTATAGGGTCGAGAGGATCTCTGGGGCCAAAAACCAGGTCGCCGACGGGTTGTCCCGACTCTCAATCTGAGAAGAGGAATATCCGAGGTTGGAGGAAGTAACGCTCTCAATGGCCAAGAACGAGATAATCCAAGTCGCCGCTTACAAGGCGCGAGTGGCAGTCCGAGAAGAGGGCGAAGGCCCTAGGACATTCCTCGCAAACCTTTACGACGAAAAATACCGAGATATAGGGTTGTACCTGGCGGGTCGGGAGAAGGCACCGAAATAGTCAAAAGGGAGGCACTCGGGTATTGCTTGCGAGAAGGTCACGTCTTTAAGAGGCCCACCAAGTTTGCAATTCCCATGAGGGCCCTTTGCGACTCGGAAGAGAGGAAAGCGGTCATAGAGGAGTTACACGACGGGGTCGTCGGCGGACACCGGGCGGTAAAAGGAACGTTTGACAAGGTTCGAAGGCTTTATTGGTGGGACGGACAATACAGGGAGGTCGAAAAATACTGCTCTACCTGTAAAGCTTGCCAAAAGAGGGTGACCGTTCGCTATAAGGAACCCCTCGTTCCATCACTTCCCACAGTGTCGGGCGAAAAGGTCCATGTGGACTTGGTGACCATGCCCAAGGGAGCCAGTTGACTTCGGTACATAATCAATGTCCGTGATGACCTGACTGGATTCGTCAAAGCAAAGACCATTAAGAAAAAGACGGCCGAGGAGGTGAGTGACTTTCTCCTAGAATACATCACTAGGTATGGGTGTGTTGGGAAGATAGTCATGGATAGGGGGTCCGAGTTCTCCAGCCAAAAGGTCAAAGCAATATTAGAAAAGACAGGGATAAGGGCGGCCTATGCCACCGCCTATCACCCCCAAAGCAACGCCCCGGTCGAAAGAGGCCACCAGACGCTTGTAGATGCCTTAGCCAAGTGGTGCAAGGGGCGTGCGGAGCAATGGTCAAAGTACTTGCGCTATGCAGTCTAGGCTGACAACATCACGGTCAAATCAAGTACGGGGTATCCCCCTTATACGCTTTGTAGACACTGCCCCCTGCCCATCGAATTCCACGTCGACACTTGGACGAGTGTCTCGTGGAGAACGAACATGACAAGGGGCGAGTTGTTAGAGGCAAGGATACAACAAATAGCCGAAAATCTTGACGCCGAACTTACCGAGGCGGGAGGAAGCATTGAGAAGGAGAGAACAAAAGGTAAGGAGAAGTGGGACAAAAAATTGCGGGTCCGTCAAAAACCGATAGGGATTAGTGACCTCGTTTTAATGTACGACTCGTCACTAGAAAAGACTTGGAGCAGGAAGCTGGCCAACCGGTGGATGTGGTCGTACCTAGTCCTAAAAAGGCTAGATGGAGGGGCATATCCACTTGTCGAATTAGACAGGACCAGGTTACGGGACCCTATCGCGGGGGCTCGCCTCAAGCTTTTCCGATGGAGAGGGACCCTTGGAGAGAATCCCAAAGGGAAAGGGAAGGAAGCGGTTGATGCGGAGGTGGCCGCTGCCCACGAGAAAGGAGAGACTTTGAAAAAAAACGGCCTCTTCACGACCACCTAAGAAGGGGTATAAAGTTCGAAAACCTCCCCTGCCAAAGACCCCGAGGAGGAAGAAACGGCCAAGGGAAGATGATGGTGATACCGACCGATTAAGAAAGCGCAGGTTGAGAGAAAGAAGGAACGCTTCGAGGAAAGCCTTGAGAGTCAAATGCGAGAGAGAAGAGAGGAAACGAAAGAGAGAAAGGCGAGAAAAAAAAATGAGAAGGGGGAGACGGGTATAGAATTCCTTGGGGAAAGGGACGGGGGCTGTACCATAGTTCCAAAGGAAGAGAGACTAAGGGAGGTTGTACCATGCATAGGGGAGACATGTATCATAGTTCCAAAGAAGGGGAACTAAGGGGGTCTATACTATAATTAGGCAATGCGGTTTAGAAACCAAAAAAGTCAAGTCCTGTGTTGCAGTTTCGAGGGAAGGGAAACTAATCCTCGAGGAAAATGGGGGATGTACGTAATCTAATAAGGGGTGTAGCGCATGTACCAGGGAAAGAGAAAGGGACCATTGGGTGTGGGGGAAAAGGCTTGAGAAAAAGGAGCTACGAGAAAGCTCGCCGGGGTCGGCGAGAATCGGGGTGTGGGCTAGTTGTCGGGCGGCTGCCTACCAGCCGAACGCACTCTTTCCATCAAAGCATAACTGTTTTTGGCATGTTTTCTTTTGATTTTGCATGTTGGATGCTTGGATGCATGAGGCCTGAGGGGTAAAAGGGAGGATCTTGGGTTTCTTTGATTGGTACCAGGGATAAAGGCGTCGACGAGAGGTCATAAGTGGGGCCGAGAGCAGACCAAAGATCGGAGATTTCGAAGCGACTCATAAGGAATGAGAGGCGGCCGGTATTGGGACAAAAAGAAGGCATTGGGAAGAAACAGGATGCGAAGACGAGTCGCGTACCGTGACCTCGGAAAGACGCGGGCGTAACCTAGACGAAACTTGGACTGCAATTAAGCCAACCAAGAAGCCTCTAAGTACGAAGGTGTAAGGACAAGCGCCACCAAGTGACATGTGGACCGCAGACGTCGAGACGGTCACCATTGGCTATGAGAAACTTGCTATGGCCGCCACGCGGACGTCAGCGTTGGTACAATAAGACTAACTTAGTGACCGTCCCGATAAACAGCATCTCCACACAATGACTAAGTTTGATCCGGCGTAGGGAAAGAAGCAGGTCCGTTTCCACGGGCTAACCTGGCTTGGGGTCGTTCCAGAACGAGCAGAAGGAACCGTGCGGTATGAGGCGTACGTACGGGGCAGAGCTGGCGAAACCTTAGTCTCCATTAACTAGGAGCGGGTAAGGGGGCAAGGTGCGCCACGATGACCGACTGTATGACCGAAGCTGGTCAAATGGTAGCCTCAACCGCCGAGAGCCTTGCACGGTGCGGGGGGGGATGGACGAGGAGAGAGAGGACTGCACGGGACTGGCAGCAAAACAAGAAAGGAAGAGCCACTCGAGCAGCGAGCGAACGACATCGACAACTCTTGTCAACGGTTATGAACGCCGATCTTGCGCGGGTCTGGGCCGAAGACGGGGCTGCAAGCGAATGGGGCGGATGGGAGTCTTGACTTGACATCATCCGAATCCAGAAGGCGAGCAGGCTCTCGCCGCCATTGGCCAAAACGAAAGTAAGGGAGGATCGACCGAAGGGCAAAGAGCAATCAGGCAAGCACCAAAGTGTCTATTGTGACGGTTGAAGGATGCTAGGGGCAGTGACTGATTGCATGACAGGGAAGAGCGAATGTGAGAGGGAGAGCAAGAAAGCAAGGGTATTTTCGAACAAGCGGTTGCGTAGCGAGCGCGCGCGAGCAAGTTCTTGATAACGGTTTGTGCACAAGGAGGGAGCGACTGGTGGTGCGCGAGACTGCCGAACACTAAAGTCCGCGGAGGGACCAGAAGCGGATGGCGGCAAAAACCCAAACAGCAAGCGGTAGGAAACATGACCGAGGGCTCACGGAAGGGAGTTGAGATCGGAGGAGATGAATGTGCTTACGCTGCTATTGGCTGGGAGGACGGGCAATGGATCTCGAGTCGGAGAGGGAGAATGATGGCAGAAAAAATGAAAAATTCAAAGTTTTTGAAGAACGGCGCCAAGAGATTGGGCATAGGGGAAGAACGGGGGTCGTCCAGAAGGGAGTTCCGGGAGGACAGGCGGTATATAAGGGGAAGTAGACCACATCAGAGGGGGCGCGCACGCAAACGTTCGAGACGTCTGCGAGCCTTCGACAACGCTCGATACGGTCCTCGCGTTCGAAGAAGAGAGGGAGGAGAGCGCTCAGAGGCGTGCGAAGCGCACTAGCGACTTCCAACGCCCGTGAGCACGGACTTTGCGCGATCGGGAAGGAGAGCGACTGAGAGAGAGAGAGAGAGAGGGAGAGAGAGAGAGAGAGAGAGAGAGAGAGAGAGAGAGAGAGAGAGAGAGAGAGAGAGAGAGAGAGGTCCTCTCCAATTCACTGCGAAATCAATTATTATATCACACGTCTATCGCCTAAAATATTTATCCGAGTTGCGTACAAGCACTAACACACATACACAGAGTGTTATGCCAACCCGGACTCAACCTCTGCATATATCTACACATTGACCGGGTGTTTTTTCTTTATTTCTCTTGTCGATCGTCTCGCAGGTCGACCTCCGTCATCCACTTCCTTCTGCTCATCGACATTATCCCTTGCATCCTCATTGTCATCATGCCTCTCTACATGTATGTCTACCCCTTCATCGCTTAACGATATACAATTAATCACCGTCTGGGACGTGGTTGATCCCTCAAGCTTCCTCTTCCCATCCTTCTCCGCCTCATCCAACAGTTTCATCATCTCATCGGAATTTTTTTGCACCTCACTCGTATGTTCTGCATACCCACCTTGTTGCATTCGATCTGAAATTGCCACGTTTGTGGAAGGAGTGGGGCTCTCCATCTGCAATGCACTCTGGTTTTCCGTCTGAGTTAATAGAGGAGGCCCTTACGATGCAACGTTCGAAAGATCTTTATCGACATTTCGTGTTCCCTTGTCCACCCCCATTACCTTGACATTAGTCTGACTCATCGCTTCCCCGACACTGGCAGCAAAGTGCGTCGTCGACTGGCCTCCAAGCTGTGAGCATCCCAACTGGATTGTCTCGATGCCTTGACATGCAGGAAGTTCGATCTTCCAATCGATGGTCTTGTATGACCGGCTTGACGGCAAATCATAGAACTTGTGTTTGTATTCCAGCTGATTGCTGGCGTGCAGAGAATCGAATAGCAATTGAGCCTTCTCCTCAATAGCCGCCTCGTCCGCTCCAGCGTTTTCGCACTTGACACGGAATACGATTTCGCTCTCCGTCACTTTCAGCCACGGTACTTCTGCCTGTCTGGCTTTGACTTTCCATCTTGATGTTAGATGCAGTGCCATCATCCACTCCCCCTTGAAAATGTATGGCTCAAATACGTCTGTGTGCCACAAAATATGGTGTCCCCACTTCTCAGACGTCGTTTCTGGCACCTTGTCTTCAATGAAGTACGGCTGTTCATTGGCCTGCACAATGCGATCGGGAATATCATCACCAGGCATCAGCCTTGGAAGGGCATCTGGAACCGCCAAGTCATCCTCATCGTCGTCTGCCATCATGTTGTGTTCCGTGTTTCCTCGAAGAGTGCGATGCCTTCCCTGGAGCCCGTGACGATTGTCATGAATCAATGTATTCTCAAGTGCTTGGAGGCGCGTAGACGAATCCATTTGCATCTGTTCAATGGAACTCGCCCTGTCGGTCACGTCACGCGTTGGACTGTTCGCACCTCTCGATTTCGTGCGACCTTCTTCTCGATTCTCGTTCGGCACGCTGCATGCTGGCACACTCTGCATTCCCTCTCGCAAACGTTTCACTCGCTCTTCGATTTCAAGGTCCGATGTTTCGGTCTCCTCGTCGATCTCGATCGCATTCCATGCATCGGTTGTTTTGACGATTTTGTTGTACTCATCGTACGACAGCGTAGCCTGATTGGCTGCGAACCTCATTTATTCATATCTCCCCACGAACATTGCAAACGCACCCACATGCGCTTTATGGTAGCCACTATACGCTTCATGTGCCATCGCTTTGCGAACTATGTAGTCATTCTCGAATGGCGATTTGGGTTGGCCTTGGAACAGATAGTCCCACATCTTGTTTCTCTTCTTGCCCAGCTTGTGGTACATATMTCTGTYCRGRCGMTGCRYCGTCTTCTGCCTCTCMACCGYGCAATCGTTTCTTGCGTCCTTCCCAAGAATGTCGAAGGCCTTCGTCAAGTACGAGATRTYTTTGGACGACCCGTCGCATGCAAAAACATGATAGCCCGCGCGCAGAAGCTCCCACACAAGTCCAGCATGTGGCTTTCCGATAAGTAACACCCCCTGATCCTCGTGCAGAAATGAACTACATAGCTTCTACATCCGTGTTGGATGTCGTTCCCACCGCCCATATTCCTCTCGTTCGTTTTCTTCATCGCCGTCATGCTTTGTTGTGCACCTCTTGAACTTTTCCTCCTCAACGTGAAGCTCCACTAGCTCTGCCTCCGACTTAGGGATCCTCGTGACCTTCCTGAGGTCGCCGCCCTCGGCATGCAGGACAACCGCCATCATGTCCTTGTAGTCGGCTTGCAAGTTTCCGTACTTGCTGACAACCATCCCAATGAGATAACGTTTCCAAGTCCCAGGTATCACCTCTACGTCGTCCCAGTTGTACAGTTGCCGCATGACGATCTTCTGTTGTTTTTGCGGGGCAAAAACAATCAGAATCCAATGACTGCCGCACAATTTCGACATCATTCTGTGCAGAGCATCGAAATCGGCCGGCGACCATGCAAGGCAGTCCTTCGGGTTTACGAGATCGAGGATGGCGGCCTTGCAATTCAAGTTCGTGGCTGCAGTCACAATTTCGTCGGCCGCGGGCAGCAACTCCTTCGGGTGCATGTTGACCGATAGCAATGTCGACCGTCGCCCTTTCTTCTCCCAGCACAGATGAAGCGCAGCGTTCTTCAACTGTCACAACTCAACTGTCAGCAAGTCCACTTTCCCTATGGCGTGGTACACGAAGTACTTGAAGTGGAATGGCGCGTCCCTGTACAACGCCTCCGTGGCCTTTAGACCAGCTCCTTTCAGGTTTTTTTCCTCTTGCTCTCCGCCAAGTCTTTTCAGAACCCTCCGGGCGTATTCCAAAGGGATCCTATCCCTTTCCTCATCCCATTCGCCTGCCTTAACGCCAAACCTCTCCCCCACGTTTTCATAGTCGAAGAAGTTCTCGTCCTTCCATTCTTTCACCTCTCTGTTCTCCGATTTGAAGACGATATAGTTGAACAGACGCATCATTTACCTCTCTCGCATTATGATGTCGAGGAGGTTGGTCATGTTCAACTTCCCAGGAGAAACCAGTCTAGTAGTGGCGATGACTTTCTTATCTATCATAAACTGCAATGCAATTTCTTTCTCTCGAGCCGTCATATCTCCAAGACATTTGAAGTTTGACGGAACGAGATCTTTGAAGGACACCGTAGCGTTTGGTCCCCCGTCGGTAGTCGCTATGCAATGGAACACCTCCTTCTTCCCCTTCACCTTTTCAGTGAATTGGCCCGGCAACCGCCCCTCCTGCTTCCCCGGCAAGTCCTTCGGGCATTTGTTGTCGTGTAGCGGCAACTCCCCTGCCTCGAACTTCTGAAAAAACTCCTTTACCAATGGCCATATCCTGTCCTTGCATATGGCGACATTCATGTATCCCCTCATTCTGTTCGTCCAATCTGTTTTCCACTTCGGAGACAAAGACTTCGTCCACAGCGATTTTTCACATGACTTTCCCATGCAAAGTCTCAAAAATTACCTCCACTCTTCCTGGTGCGCCACACCGGTGGGATCCCCTTTGGACACGTTCCCCACTGGCCCGATCCGTTTCTTCAAGTCCCAAAATCCTCTGATGTCCTGGCAGGCTTGGTGGAACGACGGCAACATAGCACGGTCAGCTCTCGTGTTGTCGTATGTCGAAACATACAATACCCGTTCGTGTGGTCGTCGTCGAAATAAATGATCCGTACACCATCATAATTCCGAAAGCCGAACACCTCAACGGCTTCAGATTCCCTCGCCACTGCTCTTTTCATAGCTTCGGAAGTATGTTGACCGGCAACCGGGTAATAAAAATACTCGTCTGCGCTATCGGGATCGAAGTCCTGCGAAAGGACTCGTGTCCCTTGGCTGTCCGGATGCTCAAGCGATGGCATAATCGGAGCCAGCACCAACTTCGGTGGATCCCACGGGGCCGGATCATCCGCGGACCTTGGACGAGTTGATGCCTCGATTGCCGCATCGATGCCTGCAACGATTGCCAAGTTCAGCGATCGCTGGTTGAAGGTTATATCTCCCGCCGGAATTGGAAGAATCTGCACGACGTCAATCACCACCCTAGGCGGGTCTCTTCTCTTTTTGTCATCGTCTTCGTACTCGAGGAAGAAGCACTGCGTCATGTTGACCGCACTGGGTTTCTTCGTCTCCTGCTTGTCATCGTCAGGGAGGGAGAGCAAGCGAGGGGCCACGCCTTCAGTATCGTCGCTGGAGTCGTCCGATTTCTGATGCCTTGATGGCCGCACGGGTTTCTTGGGTTGTGACGTTTTGCGAATCCGAGCACTTGATTTGCATTTCACATCGACGTCACCAAGCGTCCCTTGAGATGCATCCAAGGCGACCCGAGCTTCGTCCACAGCTTTTCTTCGAGCCTGTTTCTTAGGCGCAGCAGGCTTCGGCGACGATTGTGCAGTGCGTTTTACCCTCCCCTTGGAAGCAAGCCCCGCGGAAGCATCCACATCTTCTCCTTCGTCTTCCAATTCCTCGTCTCTCATTTCCGAACCACGCACAACACCACCGCCCACCCCATCGCCCGCCGCAACTTTTTCCCACTCCATATGGTCTGCCCCTCCTCCAACCTGTTCTCAGCGCTCTCCAGTACCACACTCCCCTTCATCCTCGTCGTATTCCCCATCGTCCATCACCTGGGCTTAGGCACCTCCACCAGCTTCCCGCCCCACATTCACATCGCAAGAGCCTTCGCCCTTGATGTGTCGAGGTGTCGCTAACAACCGCGATTGCAATTGGTGAACCAGTTCGTCTTCTCCCGTTTCTTCGTCCGACTCCTCGTCCATTCCACGTTGAGCGGTGTCCCGCGAGCGCGAGATGGCACCAAAACGCGAGCTTCCAGGAAGATCCGAAGGAGGTCTGGCGAGCCCCTTCTTCTTCGGAAGGTTTCCCGATGGACCACCGCCCGAACGCCTCTGGTAAGTAATGACTTTCTGCTTCCCGCCGGCAGGTTGTTGCGGTGTCGACACGACCTGCCGCCGATCGTTATAGCACGTTGATAAGCCTGCGAGACTCTCGACAGGAGCATCGAATGGGACAAGAGGTAACGAGAGCTGGTGACCAGCGGCGACCGTCAGGAATTGACCACTTTTCCTATACCCGTTGGTCTTGTTGAGGAATTCAATGGGTAAGAGCATCTTCAAGGCATTCCCATCTCAATTGCCGCCGAAGGCTTTCATAGCGAATGCCTTCAAACCATACCCCTTGAAGTCGGTATCCTGCTCATCGTACACCGAAGTGAGGAAGAACTTCCTCAATTCTCGCTCGTCGACCTTGCCCTTCTCCGCCGTTGCCTTGTCAATTTCAGACCTGATGATGCCACCACAACAGTACCAGGTCGCCCCTTCGTCCTCCGTCAAATACACAGCAGCACCGCACCCGGACTCGCCGGCCACTCCGACCCAGTCGAGAGCCCACGCCTTGTCGCGATACAGTTTCAACCTGTTGTTGTACCTCTTATCCGCATCATTCGGACCCTTGCGACCTCTCCCTGGATTGGATATCCATAAGAAAAATGACGAGGGATGCATTAATGTCACCTATCTCTATCTCTATCTCCCACAGCACAAGATGGGACATTGCATCAACAGAAGCAATCGCAAGGCAGATGCCGACAGAACAAGAAGTAGAGCCCCGAAGAGTTTGGACCCCAACCTTGCACAAGGAGGCGGCGAGGGTCCAGCGTTTGTCAAACGTCGGACCCCCTTCCAAAAGCACTACCGGTGATGAGGGGGGGGGGCACAACGTTTAACAAACGGCGGCCCCCGGCGGCGGCCTGTGCTTATGGAGGGGTCCAGCGTTTGACAAACGCTGGACCCCCGCCAATGCCTCGGCCGGCAGGAGGGGGGTCCAGCGTTTGTCGAACGCTGGCCACCCCGCCTGCCAGCCGACCCATTGGCAGGGTTCCAGCGTTAGTCAAACGCTGGAAAGCCGTCAATGCGTCGGCCGGTACGCGGGGGGGGCAGCATTCGACAAACGCTGGACCCCCGTCCACGGGCCGTGCCATTGGTGGGGGTCGAACGTTTGTCCTTCATCTGGACCCTGCAAAAGCACTGCCCGTGGGCGGGGGTCCAGCGTTTGTCTACCGGCCGATGCATTGGCAGGGGGTCCAGCGTTTGTCAAACGTTGGACCCCCCGCCTACCGGCCGATGCATTGACGGGGGTCCAGCATTTGTCAAA